AGTCTTTTTATATGTGCTTGGTAAAGTTAACCTTGCAGGACAAAGTGAAGCTTTGGTTATTTTATAAAAATTATTAAACTATTCAAATATAAATTATAAAACACAAATAATGCATAATTACCTAAAATATAAAAGTAAAACCTAAATACAATCTAACAATAACATATTTAGGTAAGAAATAACTGAAGTGCTATCTCGAAAAAATCAACCAACAATAGTACAAGCAGTTACATCTACTTGAGGACGACAGCTTGGTGCCAATTTCAAATTGTTGTTGGATTATAATTTCAAAATAGTTTTTTCTAATGGCTATAAACACGTACATGTTGAAAGTACATATAATTTCTGAAGCTCAACGTTATCTATAGAAGGTAAATGTGGTACCTGGCAGGGGTTGACAAAATTTATTTCTTGTTTCAACTGCATTCAGCGAAAGAACTTCGAAACATACATATCAAAAGGTCAAGTAAAGTACATTCTCATCTTGACTTACATGTATAAGACTATTTGCTTATGCTTCAAGTTATTCTTCAACATTGTTTACAGCTCTTGCTTCATGAAACATAAAACATTATAACTTTCAATGTTTCTTTTGAAATATCGGAATAAAAGCTAAGCTAATATAAAACTTTGAACTATAAAATACTTGGTAATAATAGTTTCATTAAAACAAATTGATAGTAAAGGGGTTTAATTAAATGTTGAATGTAATTCACTAACATTTGTGACATGCACAGAAAGGAATTTAAAGAGTGTGCCATATTTCGTAGGGTTAACCAGCAATTCAGTTTGTTTTCTCACTCTAATTTCCCACCATAATGTTTTGTTGTTTTTTCCATGACTGAGAAAAAGTCTTGTAATTCCTGTGTTTGCATGAAAAAACATTTGGTTGAATGTGTGATAAATGAAGTTTCAGAAGATGCTATTATGGTAAGTAGGGTATAAGAGTGGTGATTTTTGCACATCTAGTGTCTTTTATACCATTCTGTAAATTAACAATTTCATTTTTCAATTCTTGGCCTTTTTGTGATCACTCTTCTTTAAATTTCTGTTAATGCTCATTAGCTTTAATGTAATTCACCACATTTTAAACTTTAAAGATTAATATCTCTCACAGTATCTTGTTTTTCTATTAAACTTTTCTGCCACTCTCTCTCTCTCTCTTCCATTACCATTAATTGTTCTGTTGAATATTTTGCTTTTCTTTCATATTCTTCACACCAATATGAAAGATCTCCAAAATGTTCTTTCTGTATTAGCATTTTTCCCAGACATGTGGCTAGTGTAATTTCCTTCTCACTTCTAAACTAAATGGTACATATATCTTGGTTTCAGTGGGTTGATTGTGTGTTGAAAACTCATTTGTACAACAGTTCTTAAGTCTAGCACGTCGATTTTCTGAGTTCTACTATGTCTTGGATATTGTTACGTCTCCGTTTGTTAATTAACTTTCCGTAACTTCGTTCCCACGAAACGTTAGCGACACAAGTCCTTACTTAATAAAACTGGTTTATTCTTTCCGAATATAACTTTACGATACACTTAATTTCAACAATCGCGCTAAAACAAATGCTATAAAAACGAACGTGCTCAATAATACTCTCTGACTGCAGATCAATTACTCACTGTCTACACGCACATTATTCCGTCACATTGTCACCCTGTTATATATATACCAGACTACACTATATCTAGTAATCTCCCGACTATTATACAAAGGTACAAGATATTTCCAGAAAGCATGGGGTGTGGCACTAGTCACGTGACCTTGCTGACGCAACAATATCATAAATGCAGGTAATTATTCGCACACTATGCCTATATTGTTTTTGAGTGTATCCAATGAATCTATTAGTATATCTTGTGTTATTTGCTGACAATATATATGTTTTACCAAAATATCTAAGTTTTCTGACAAACTGTCATTACTGATATTCTGAACACTAGCTCTGAATCTTTAAGTGTTTTATAGGCTGCTAACACACACACATGTACTAGAAATTTCCACAAATCTATAACTTAAAGCTCGTATTTGAATCTTACAGATTGCCTACAGTACAGACCAGTAAAATCAAACAATAACACAATTTAGCCATTCTTATTGAGGAAACATGTATCACATAATTACAGGATTAATCAATAAATATTAAAATTGGAAACAATGCATTATCTTTTAAACATTATAAATAAGATCTAATTTGCATAAAGAATAATATTAACTGTTACCACATAATAAAATTTTAACAGATTAATTTTGTATCTTAGTTGTGTACTTTTTAAAATTTTTTGTGTCTAAATTTTAGTTTTGTTCTAATTACAGTTTAACAAACGTACTTCTGTTAATTTTTCAATAAAAATATTCTGTTCTTTTAAAGGCCATTATTTTATAACATAATATATGGGCATCAATGAACAATTTGATCTTTCAAGGTTCTCTCTGCACATCCACTCCAAGGTGAAGAAAAGTAAAAATGAAACCCATTTTTCCTTTTTCAGAAAATAATTGATTTCCCTCTTGTAAACTTCAATAAGATCACTGATTACCCATTTTTTTCTCAAGAAAAAATAAGGAAAAAACTGTACACAATATGATAAGTGAAGAAGCATAACTAGCGATTTATACAACTCTCTGTAATTGGGTTGGTCTTAGTGTGTGTGTGTGTGTGTGTCATAACATTTTTCAAAAATTAATTCAACAACCTTATTATTAATTTATGCCAATACACTTGGCATCAAAATGTATTTTATAACTCAACTTTTGATATTATATAATTTTTAATTTCAAAAGGAAATATTTAAATAGATTCTCAGTTTCACTTTATTGTATCACATGGCACTTCCTTGTTCCAAATTATTCATTTTAGATTTTCTTTCTTCTGCCTTCAAGCTTCCTACTTTACTGAAATATAAATATGAAAGTCAAATTCACATGCCATGTCCCTCTTATCACATCCTGTCTTTCAACAATTCTCTCTGATATTTGTTATTTGTTTATTTCTAACCAATAGAAAAAGAAGATTCTAATTTACTAAATTTCTAAGAGGCTAGTTCATTCAGTTGATGAGTCTTGAAAAATTCGACTTCAATTTTACTGTTTGCTATCAGTGAAGTTCAGTTCAATCAGCTCATTATAATTGAGTTAGAAAGCCAATTAAATTACAGTGGTTTCTACATTCTATATTTTGTGCATGATAATACTCTGTGTTCTGAATTGTAAGTATAATTTTGAACACCAATATCAATACAAAAGAAAGCAGGCTTATGTTACTTTGTCTTTCCAATGACAAAAATGACAAGCCTAGATGTAGTCACTAAATTTCTTGTTATTTTATGTAAATCTTTTATTTATTGTTATAGAATTTACTAAAATGTAAAATTTATAAACTTATTAAGTTAGATAAGGAAACTTAAATGTAAAAAACTGAATGAAAAAATTATCTTGTTACTTGATATCGAAGTAGGATCACATTTGGCATGATTGTAAGCTGATCATTTGCTTACACAAGCTGTCCTACTGTGATACATGATTTTTATGCTGTTTTAAATGTATTTAGCATACTTTGAGATGTCCAAGTATGCTGTAAAGCAACAAAAGTATATAACACAAGATTTAAAAAGCCTGTTAGCTTTGGCTGTAACAAATAAATTGTGTGTAATTGTCTGTTATAATGTGTAGTCATTAATGAAATAAAAAAAGTAGTTTACATTTATTTCAAATTTTTGAACTATCTAGCTTATTGTATGTTGCTGATTTTGTTACAGTTAGTGTTAAAGTATAGAAAATAACAGGTAAGATATATGTACTAAAAATACTTTTGTATTCATTTATGATATTCTAGAGGTTATGCAAATGAAATATGAAACTTAAAGGTGAACAAAAGTATTTTTATTCTTAACATGAAATCAAAATGCACTCAGACTAACAAAGGAAAGGCGTCTTAAATTGAGAGACAAATCTTTAATTTAAATTTTTTTATAAAAATTGATTTTTTTAATACAATAGATTTGTAACATTAAATCAGAGCTTGCCAAATTTTATGAAAATACACTTAGTAAATGTATAGTTATAGTATGTATAGCTTCTTGATGTCAGAAAAACGCGTAGGTTCAATAAGTCTTGATACAAAATGATAAAAACCCTATAACCCAAGCACTTTCGAAAGGCGGACCTTTAATTATTCTTCAGGGTCAAACTAGGAATTGTGGTGTAATCAAATGAGTGATATATGAAGTGAGTTGAATGACGTTATGAAGGTCATCTGGTCTTCCAGGCAATGTTTAGTATATTTTTCCATGCACTTTTGTAAGTGTGTTCTATTTCTGGTACAATGTGGCCAGCGATGAGAGCGTTATGTAAAACAGAACAATACTCAAGTTTCAAATAGAATTCCTCTTATTATTACCTATCACTTTAAACTCAGAAACATTTCATGAATTTTGAAAAAGAATTTCATTTCCTACAACTTAACAATTGCCATAAACAGATATTTCCTGAAGTTCCTGTTGTCTCCTTCCAAAAAAGCAGAACTCTAAAAAAGATGGTTGTAATCTATGCAATAAAGGTTGTAGTCAAACCTGCAAGTTCATAAAAACTACTGACTCATTTTTTGACAAACACAACCAAAGAAACTTTAAAATTTCCAAAGAAATCACTTGTGGAACACAAAACACCATTTACCTTATACAGTGAAAAAATGGAATCACCAATACATAGGACATACACAAACAACTCTTAGAGAATGTTTCAACAGCCAAAAATCTTCTATTAACACCAAAAAAAATCTTCCTGCTGCTCAACACTTTAACCAACCTGGTCATTTCATTAACGATGTTACACTCATTGGTATTGAAACAGGATTCAAAATTAAAGCTGATAGAGAAATAAAAGAAGCTTATTGGATTGCTAATCTAAACACTGTTCAACCTTGTGGAATTAATCTAGATCCTGGAATCGGTGATCTCCAATCACTGGTTTCATCTCTGTCAGAAAAATAATTTTTTTTCTTTGCTTATTTCTTTCATGTAGCATTGAAACAGGATTCAAAACTAAAGCTGATAGAGAGATAAAAGAAGCTTATTGGATTGCTAATCTAAACACCGTTCAACCTTGTGGAATCAATTCAGATCCTGGAATTAGTGATCTCCAATTATTGGTTTCATCTCTGTCAGAAAAATAATTTTTATTCTTTGCTTATTTTTTTCATGTAGTGTGAACCCTAATTTTTCTAAAACTTACTATCTATTTAAGATGATTTTCCATATCTGTTTGTATAAATGAATTAGCTTAACATCTCTTTTTCAATCAGTCTCCAGGTTTCACCTTTATTTCACTTAAACGCTTAAGGATAGTTTTATTTATTTCTTTTTAAATCATTTCTAAAAGCAAAATATCCCTAACACCTTCTCACATAATGCTATTGTCGCCGGCTACATTGTACTGAAAATGGAACATACTTACAACAGTACATGGAAAAATATACTAAACACTTCCTGGAAGACCAGATGAAATTCATGATGTCACTCAACTCTCTTTATATATCACTCATTCGATTACACCACCATTCCCAGTTTGCCCCAAAAGAAGAAAGGTTCACCTTTCAAAAGTTCTCGGGTTATAGGGTTTTTATCAATAAGTATGTATGGCATTATGGTTACAAGATTGGTTAAAATGTCTAAGCCCATATACAGAGATGATAAGAAAATTACCTATTTTGACTAGTGATTAATATGCCTATAAATAAATCATAGATTTCTGTTAGATTTGCTATAGAAACAAAGTACTGCCTCAATGACTATTGACTGAACAGTATTTCCCTAATCTTTGCCAGTATGATTTTCTTAACTAATCTTCTTTGTAGCACCTTACATAAAATCTTTTGAAAATATTCCATCATAAAGATAAGTAGAGCTTGGCAATTAAGTGGATAAATTGATCCATTACCTATTAGCATAGAGTACATTGAATAGAAATTACAATTAAGTCTATTAATGTCACAAAAATAATCAAGTAATTAATATTTTTTATTATTCCATTTATCTAAGTCAATTGATTAGTAAATTATAGTTGTTGCTCAGCTCTGTTAGCAAGTAATATCCTCAAAAATATTTAACTTAATGATTTTTAGCAAAGCTCCTTTTCTGAAACTTACAAAACTTCTTTAACAACAAAAGAAGACAAGCCTGTAATTTCCATGTCTGCTATCACCACCTCCTTTAACCTCTACCAACAGCTAAAGAGAAAGGCTCACATATCTTATATTTGGCCTCCTTTAAAACCCTAAGGAAAACATCTGATCTGACACGTTACTCATTTTTTAATATCTTCATCTTATTACTACCATCAAAATGTTTTTCATGATTCAGGTCAATTCTAAAATTTTCCATAGATTGCTCTTTGGCAGAAATATAGGTAGCATTTTCTCTTGTAAACAAATAAACAGAAGAAAACACTCCCTTGCTATTAGCATCTTTTAAGGGCCTAATTACCACTTTAACATTTTGCTTACTTTAAATATATTTAAAACATTATCATACAGTTTTTCTCATAAGCTCTAATTCCAAAAATTGTCATGTAACAACCCTCCACCAATACGAGTGCAACATACGCTCCTGATGAGTGTGACTCCTTCTATTCCATTCTACTAAATTATCATTTCTCGTTGGGCGGTGATCTCGTGCAGACGTTTTTCGATTGTATTCCCTTCACATCTTTTCTTTAAATTTTATGCACAGTAGTAATTTCATTTAATTATTTTGCCACAGTTTGATTTCTGTAGTTTTGACACAATAACTTACTTTTGTTTGTTCATTTTCTTTTAATTCTTCACCGTTTAGGATGAATTGCAAAGTTCATGTCATGACTTTGGACATTCTTCCACCTACTTCCAGTACACTTACACAAGCTTAAGGTCGAAGGACCTTGAATAAGGAATTTTCAGCTACAATTGGTTGGAAGATTTATCATTATATGAGTCGACCTTCTTCTCCTGATATTGCTCAACTTCCTCAGGAATCTGCCAAACCTGTTCATGACAAGGAGGATTTTGAAAGCCTTTTTCCTCCACCTAACTATACCATGCCTTCATAAGCCTCTCCTGTGGAATTTCTAGGTCTAACTCAGACATTTTAAATATGATTTCTCAGGTGTGTTCTGTTTTATCCATTTCTCTGATTTCCTATTATCCTCTTCTTTCCTTATTACATGACACTCCTTCCTCAGATAATTTTTCCCTCCTCCTCCTGACATCAAGGCTCATGCTGAGCATTTCATTTATCAATTAAGAGTGGATGCTAGCAGGCCTCAGATCATTATGCCTTGGCTTATCATCGGGCTATCATCACATTTGCCTGTACGGGGGGGTGGGGGTGGGGTGCTGACTCAGAAAATCCTGTTCAACTATTTGTCATGTTTCCTGATGTAGGTTTTATCATTGCCAACACTACCAGTGACTCTCCAGTGGGGGCATGTTTGACTGATTTTGTTCCCCTATGGTGGAAATTCACTGCCGATCTTTGGGTGATCTTGGTTTTGTCACTGGGACTTTTCCTCCATTCCACCCCTCTCCCTGTTCCTATATCCTTCCCATTACCTTGGCATCCTACTACCAGTCAGCATCTATCCGAGGCAGCACTGACTCTTCTCTCACAGAGAGCTATCGAGCCTTTCAGCCAACCTTCCCCAGGTTTTTACTCCAAGCTTTTTGTAGCTCCCAAGGAAACTGTGGACTGGCATCCTGTGATAAATCTGTCCCACCTCAATCACTTTTTGAATCTTTCCCATTTTACTATGGAGTCCTTTCTCACACTGTGGTGGGTTTTTCTCCAGGACTGTTGGTGGCCAAGATAGACTTCTCGAATGCTTATCTCAATATTCTTGTTTCTCATCAGTCCAAACACTATCTTTTGTTTGTCCACTATGGGGTTGTGTATCAGTTTTGTGCCTTGTCCTTCAGGCTTATTTCGGCTCTGTCTTTTGTCAGGTGGTCAAAGCCTTTGCCCAACTTCTGCTTGCTCGAGGTTGTGTTTACACCACTACATGGAAGATTGGCTTCTGTTAGCTCATTCTGAACTGGAATCCTCACAACACACTCATCTGCTTCTGATAGAAGCAGCTTGAGTGGGTTGGATTCTCAAGTTGGAGAAGTCTTTCTTATTAACTACCCAATATCATATCCAGTTGGATGTCCTTTTCAACACTCACCTCAATTGGGCCCAACCTTCTCCACATTTACTTTTTTCAATGGAGCTATCAGTTCTCCACACCCTTTCTGTTCCTTCTCTTCCTGCTTGCTAGGTTCTGTCAGTTTTGGGGACTTGGGATTCTATGTAAGCACTTATCTCCTTGGGTCAGGCACATATGCAGTCTCTTTAATGGAGTCTGCATGACCAATAGAATCTTGCTTGGGATCCCTTGCACTATCCAATTACCCTTCCTCCTTCCCCTTTAGATGATCTGCATTGGTGGTTTAACAAGGACAAGATGATGATTGGTGTACCATTTCCTCCACCTTGTCTGGATTTGCATCTATTCACAGATGCTTCTCTCCTTGGATCAATCATCAGGAAGTTTCTGGACTATGATCTCCGGGCAAGAGGTCTTACCTTATCAATATCATGGAGCTTCTGGCAGTACAGCATGCTTTGGAATACTTTCTTCCTATTTTATCGACTTGTCATGATCCATTAGGACAATTCTACAGTGGTGGCTCATATCAATCACCAAGTGGCACCCATTCCCTTTATGGTTGAAATTGGAACTCCTTTTTTGGGCCCACATGCTGGGGATACGTCTCCTTGCATATTGTGTTCCAGGTGCTTTCAACCTCGTGGTGGATCACCTTTCCCAACCAGATAAAGTTTATCCCATGGAGTGGTCTCTTGATTCTCGAGTTTACCAGTGACTTTGCAGTCAGTGGGGTACTTCTCATTTGGATACACTTGCCTCAATACCATGTTACCTCATTTTTTTATCTCCAGTTCCTCATCCTCAGGCCCTAGCCCCATGTCAGGTCCTTCTGATTGCTCCCTACTGGCCTACACAACCTTGATTTCCTCGTCTCGTTCAGCTCCAAACTGCCCCTCCATTACCTCTTCCTCTCACTCCATCCCTACTATGTCAACCTCATTAACCACTCCTTCATTACACCTTTCCTATCCTCTGTCTTCATGCCTGGCATTTATCAGGTCCCTGGCAAGGAGATCCGGATTGTCTAGGTGTGTCTCTTTCTTTTAAGCAGGGTCCATTCACCCTTCCTCTGTTGATGTTTACCAACGTAAGTAGAACATCTTCCACCTTTGATTTTTGAGTCAAGGTTTTTTTCCCTTCTTAGTACATTGTTCCTCTTCTTATGGATTTCTTCACATGGTTGTTCGATCATAGGAATTCTGTCTCTTCCATAGCTAGTTATTGAGCAGCCTTATTCCACACCTTCTGCTTTTCCCGGTAACATTTGGTATTCTCCTATCCTACTCTTTCCTTTTTTGTGCATTCCTTCCGAATTTGTAGACCTCCTCGTCGAGCGGTCCTTCTATATTGGAATGTCAATATTGTTCTTCACTGCCTTACTCTACCTCCGTTTGAACCTTTATCCTCATGTTCTTTGTTTCACTTATCCCTTAAGACCTATTTCCTACTTCTTCTAGCCTGAGGGCATCATTGGTCTGATATATTTGCCATTGATGTTTCCTGCACACTGTGCCATTTCACATATGTTCTCCTTTATCGAACTGGTCTTTCCACCCCAAAACTTTGGCAGCTCATGAGGGACATTCTTCCTTCTCACCGATTTCACTTCCATCCATATCCCATCTTTATTACCAGTCAGATCCTTTTCTGCCCAATCTCCAAATAATAGTTCAGTAGAATTGAATACAGGGAATCTTGTGCGTCAGGAGGGTATGTCGCAAAATGATTTACATTCAGTTGATTGTGGGGTACATGGAAGTTCAAGGTTTGTGGCATGAAAAAAACTTTTTGCATTTATAGGCAGCAATGAATGAGAATAGTTATATATGTGAGGGGAGGTAAGTGCCTATTGGACATATATCTTCAATATAGGAAAATAATAATTTTTCTTATGTCTTAGTGTGTAAAGTATCTTTGACCTACCCTGTTAGCTTTTCTTTATAGGAATGTGCCATTTTGAAATAAAAGCAAAATTTCCTAAGTCTGCCCTCACCTTTTGTCTCATTATACCAGCTCACCAGTGATATGTAAAATTGGTAACTGCTGATCAGCACTTGTAATTTTAAGATTATTATAATTTTACAGTAAAAGCTTACCCGTAAACAAAGGCAAACAATTATATTAGATGTGTCAGATGTAGATATCAAATCATTGATTGTTTAACAATGTCTTCTACCTTGATAAGAAAAATATTTGCATTTTAAAAGTTCTTCCTCTACATATAATGTAATTATTGGATTAGTAGTTTGTTTATAATTATTTTTACATAGTTTATTACACACTAAAAGCATACCTGTAAAAAAAGACAAAAAAAAAGTTATATCATGGTGAAAAAAAAATCAAAATTTATACCCCTGTTTTGTGTCAGATATAGATATCACATCATTAATCTGTTTAAAAATATCTTCTACCTTGAAATGAAATCATTATTCATTATTATTTTCAAAAGCATTTCCTCCACAGATAATGTAATTATTGGTTTATTTGTTTATAATGTTTTTTTTTTTACATAGTTCTAGATAATGCGGCTACAAGACCATCAATCTATTTAAAAATTCCTCTTCCATGTAGTGTTTGTTGTTCCATTTGTTATTAGGAATGTATTTATTAGTTTATCATTTTATTTTAGAAGAAATGGGTAATTACCAGTCTGCAGTAGAACTTTCCAATCAGAAGCGTCGTTGGTCTTCTGAATCATCAGACTCTGGGGTTCATTGTTCATACAAACCTGCGAAAGTTTTGAGAACTACCATTGTTAGGGAAACTGAAGGTATGTATCCATTAGTATCTCGGTATGATATATCAATTTCTAAATTTAGAACTCATGGTATAATATTTAAAATAGTTGAATTTATTATTTTTAGAATTGCTATTTCTATTTACACTGAATAATGAGAACACATATTTATACAACTTTATAGATTTCTTTGAGTCTTTTAAATGCTGAATATCTGTAGTAGTCTCCAATTGTCTGTTTACAAAAATTTGCCTTATTTCAGCAAGTTCCACAGCCTCCATATCAGAGAAGCCTCCACAAAGTCCATCAGAATGGAGTATTGAGAACGTGATCCATTTTATAAATAGCACAAACAAGGAACTTAGTGTACACAAAGACCTCTTTCGTAAACATGTGAGTAGTTGAAAATTCCATAATTGATGAGAACTTGAGACCAGATAGTTCTTTCTCTGCTATTCAGAAGTTTTAGTGTTAATAATAACATACAAAATACTACATAATAGTGATATATAAGCCTATAATACTTTCTTTTTAAGAAACAAAGTAATGCTCTTATTTTTCAAATTAGAAATCGTATTATTTTATCATATTGTATAACTATTGCATGGAGAATACTAAATTATTTTGCGCACAACATATTAAATAAAAAATATCTGAAATGATTGTTTACAGATATATAGTGTTATCTATCAAAAACTAACTTATAAAAGGTAATATTATTCAAAGTGTGAACATTAAATAAATTATTTCTTTCATTGATAAAGCATTTGTGTCTCATTTTTTCAGGAAATTGATGGGCAAGCGCTGATGCTATTAAACAGTGACATGATGATGAAATACATGGGGCTGAAGCTTGGGCCTGCCCTTAAAATATGCAACCTCATTGACAAGCTAAAAGGCAAGAAGTCACTGTAGCATTAAAATCCACTTAAGTTTTTATTTGTTTAGAATTTTTCTTTTCTTGGAGTTAATCCTAGCTTAGTGTAACTGTGATGATGAAAACATACATTATATTTTGAACATTCAAAATAGAAGGTGTAAGAAATATTACAAAAGCTGAAATGCTAGAGTAAGGAAGCATATTATGCTAATATAATAATAGGTGGGAAAGCAATGACTTATAAGAATAAGTAAATATTTTAATTGATGGTGGATCATACTACAGAATAAGACAGACCAATGTTCTGTGAAAATATGTAGTATGTTCTCCCATCAATTACAGTTTTTACTTGTGCTTTTAAATCATTGTTTACATGCTTATTATTAGCTGAGATACCATTCAAACAGTAGCATGAAGATAAAGTACAATCTTGTTCATAAGCTGAAAGATGAAAAATTATTGTAACATTTAATTAACATAACTTTCTACTTTTCAGAACTTTTACTGTGTTGAAGTTAACCCTAGAGAATTAATGTAACAGTTTTGATCAAAATAATTTTTTTCAAAACTCAAAGTAGAGGGTATAAAATACATTACACATGTTTTAACAATTTTATTTGTTTAATTTTGTCTCAGAAGTTGATTGGAAAGTGAGAGTTGAATTTTTTGTAGATTTTGTAACAAAATGTTTTTTTTGTTGAATTTAAATAAGCCAATCAGAGAAAAATCAGACTCCTCTGAGAAGATGCTTAAAGTCGGTAATATAAATTCTGTTTTTAAGTGATATATATCTAGATGTATATATTTCTGAGTGTTTTGTATAATGTTTTTAAATTCATTCTGTAACTTGTTTTACACATTTTCATCTATAACTATGAAGAAATAAGAGGTTTATTGTATCTGGATTGTAAAGGAAAATTTAAGTGTTCTATATTGAAAGAAAATTTATGTATTATGGAACAACTTTACATTAATATACTTCAAATAAATTAGTACATAAATCTCTCTCTTTGTGTAGTTAATATCTTTAGCCCTATATTATGTTTGAGTATCATTAGGGAAAATGTACTGGGCCTTATGAATTATAGCTTGAAACTGTGCTAAGTACACTTTCTTGCAGTTGTACATGGAATTTCTTTTGTTCTTTATGATACTGATAGAAGTATGTAGTAACTTACAACAGGTTTTACATTGACTTCATTCGCAATTTACCTTTTATAGAATGTTTTTGTTTAATTTACATAAGGTTGTTAGGTTTTTTCAATGCAGCTATATTTAAACTTGAATGGAATGATTATGTAGAACTAGATGTTGTATATGTAGCTTTTAAAAATTTGTAACAGAAAAAACTTGCTATATGCTGTATCTTTTTGATGCATTTCATTCAAAGAAAGTAAAACTTAGGGTACAGACAAGGGGAAATTATAAGAGTAACATCAATACTCATACTGTGTGGAAAACATATGCAATATTTTAAATGAAGTTAACTTGTTAACTTTTAGGGATTCATTTTGGCATGTCAAAACTTCCACGTACTAAGTATGTATTTACCTGAAACATTTAAAGTTCATTTAACACTTTATTCTGATTTTATTGCACAGTTTTGTATTAAAGGTCAGGTTCTAATGTAGTATGAGCTCATATCAGATGATTAGTAACTGAAACATCTGTTAAGTACTGAATTTAAGCCAAAATTTAAGTTAAAATTTAAGTCAAATTTAGAATCAGAAACATGTTAATAGGACCTTTTTTGTAACACTAATTTCAATAAGTGATGTGGGTAAGAAGATGCAGTATTGTTTCCTAAGCTAGTTTTTATTTCATCTTTATTCCACTATATGAATAATCACAAAGCATAAGATCTTAATCTTTTCAGTTTATTTTGTTTTTGTTCCAAATAGAAGTATAAGAGGTTGTGGTTCTTAGTTAAGACCTATCATCGATAGGGAGTAATGAAGTCTGATGATTTATATTTGTTTTTTAACTGAATTTTAAGTGTTTTTTCAAGAACTTCTAAGACATGATGGAATAATCAAGTATTCATATAACAAATGGTAAACTTTTGGAACTGTGAATAGGTTATAAAAAATTTCATTTCATTTGTCTTGTGAAGTTAAAGTTTTGGATAGGTCACTAAAGTTGATAACTCAAATAAAGTTACTGGTTGAGAGAAAATTTATGCATATGTGAATTTTACTCATTTATTTTGTGTATATATATATATATATTGTTTTGGTCTTTTTTTCTATACAATGTAATCTTAACTCAAATTGCTTGCTTTTGCAGATTGGCAGTCATCCTTTAATTAACTGTTTATGATTTCTTTGTTGTCTAAGTAAATGTAAAGAAAATACAAGATGGTTGAAAAGTTAGTTGCTTTACAGTTATGTAAATAACATACAAATTGCAGCACTTATGAGTCCTTTGTCAGTCTAGCTACTGTGTTTACTTGTTTGCAATACAATCATACAGTTTCTCCAAAACTAGTATAAGCCAATAACACACATTGATCAAAGTATAGATTGTATTGGAACTTCTTTGAACTTAGACTTAAGATTAAACAATTTTCAGAACACTAAGTTTATTTATTATACCTGCTATTGTGCAGCTATATAATGTGAAGAACTGAATAGTGGCCAATGACACTTTTTCTTCACTTCACCTATCTAGTGTATAGGTTTTTCTCCTAATGACTATAAAACATGTTCCCACCAACTATATGTTTCTTTATGGGATATGTTCATAATTTTTCTGATCATATACATGTTCAGGTTTTCAATATATAACTAGGTGACAAATACTCATAAGCTTTTGTAGTGACTATATGAGTTAACACAAATGAAAAGAAGTATAAGTAAAAAATTCTAAAGTTACACGAATTATCATCACCATTGTTTCTTTGAATTACTGTTTAAATCTGATCAGAAGTTTAGGTTAGTCATCCAATCATTTTATCATATAAGGTGTAATATAAATATGACAACTTGTGTTACTTTTAAGTTACAACAGGCAGTACTAAAACAAAGACTGAATCTGAAGTTTTATCATCCACATAGTGTACACATGAGGGTGCTGTTACAGGTACTGTTTAGTTTATGTACTTAATTTCTTAGCAGACAGAGTGAAGAAAGCTTCGGGTCTTCGGCATCTTAAACAAGAAAATGTAGCCAATAGTGCAAGGGTTGTTAAAAATAGGCTTGTTGTCGTAGACAAAATCACAAGTGCTTGCAGTGTTTCCACATTCTACTGTTATTATAAGTAGTATAATATTACAGTGCACATTGGAACTGGAACTTACTTGCCGTATATGTACTATTACTATTACACAAGTTTTAATATTTAACTGTGAGTAAATTAAATTTATTTCTACATTTTGCAATAACAAAAACAAAATGTCTAGCATTATAGGAATCAAAATATTGATATTACCTAAATTTCTAGAATTTATAACATTTAACGTAACTGGATTGAAAACCTAAACCTGCTAATGCCATTTACTTGGATGTCTATTGCTTCATTAGTCACTCTCAAGTTAGGGTTGAGTTTACCATTAATATTGTTGTAATTTTTTCTTGTAAACTATGTGGTAAAAATGGTGGAAAGTCTAGCCAACTTAATGAAAACACAAACGTTTTATTTCTCAAGATCCATATTCAGTGTTGCTAACTTCCACTGATAGCCATAACTTCACAGATAAACTATGTGTAGAAGAAATTTCACTTCGGTTTACATCACCATTTTTTCGTTGGAGCACAAACTCAATATTCACGACTCTGAATTAATTAAATGGCTGACTGTAACATAAGAATTGACTAATTTATGCACTGATTACTCATTAGTTGATTAATAGACTCACTAACATACTGTAGCCTGAATCGGTTTTTAATTATAGCTCATATTGTTTCCTGAGCTGTTGAAAAGTTCCAGATACTGTTAATCTTCCTTCTGACTAAGCAACAATATTAATTACTAGAAACGTGTAGATTAACGAAATATGTTACAACACCGGCCCCTTTATGGATTGAGAATTCTCTTGTACAATTTTCAGTTGTGACTTATGTGGGTAGCTTACTTTGATCAGAAGTTAGTACTTACAAATTCTGTTATGCAAAAAAATAAAGATAAATTAAACATAAATTACCATAATCAACAGAAATTAATTCTTGACAATTAATATTTATAAATCTAAACATCAAAATAATTACTTAAATATATAAAACGTGTAGTACAGTCACAATTTTTGTTGACAAAAATACTATTATTATTATGATGTATAAAGCCTTATGCTAGAGATGTATGATCTATATAAATCAGTGCTTTATGTGGCATTCCATTACAGTTAGACTAGTAATAATTTGTAAAAATTCTTTCTTTACTTCCCCTGTTTCTTGTAAGAGTAATGTAATAGCATCTCTACTAGCACAAAAGATGAGACACTGCCAACAAAGCCTCTCACTCAGTACCACAGCTTATCAGGAGCTTTGGTTGAAATGCTATTTGTATGTCATGCATAAGATATCTTCATTTATTCATTTTTAGTTAAGCACAAAGCTACACAATGGGCTATCTGTGTTCTGCTCACCATGGGTATCAAAACATGGTTTCTAGCATTGTAAGTCCACAGACTTACCGCTGTGCCACTGGGGGGCCATAAGATATCTAATATTGTGGTATTTTATGTGATATCACAATCAGACTGATAATAATTTGTAACAAAGTTTTTCATTACCGGCCCTGTGTGAGTTTCCAATAAGAAGAATGTAATAGCATCTTGACCACACATCTTGCAAGCTGTTACCGATGGGACTTAGGCAGAATACTAGAGTTCATCAGGTTGGCTGGTCATGCCAACATGTAAAGCCTCGGTTTATAACTGATTAATATATATAGTGGTTTGTTGTATTCATGGTGTTACGTCTCCGTTTGTTAATTAACTTTCCGTAACTTCGTTCCGACGAAACTTTAGCGACACAAGTATTTACTTAATAAAACTGGTTTATTCTTTCCGAATATAACTTTACGATACACTTGTTTTCAACAATCGCGCTAAAACAAACGCTATATCAACGAACGTTAACTTCAACAATACGTCTCTTTCTGATAGCAGTTCAATTACTCATTACCTACACACACACATTATTGTCACGTTGTGAGCGTCTTATATATATACCAGACTAC